GTTATTCCAGCCTTTCTTTCACAAAAATATGTTCATTTCTCACAAAGTACTGAGTATCTATTTCTATTCAATTAGCCTCCTAGATAAGCTTCAAAAGACCAAAGTAACTCATTAATGCAACGTTTCCTCCACATGCCAGTAAGTTATACAGGAACGTGAATAAGAGTGACAAATAGCAAATAGTATGTTTTAAAGGTTCTGGTGGGAGTTATTAGGAACCCAGTAATGCTATCATCCTTTAACATTTTTTGTATATTTTGTAAATAATTCTGTCTAATCAGAAGCATGAAATCCAATCTTTTTTATTGTTCCATGTTTTATTAGCCATACACAAAAAGGAAGAGAAAGCAAAGCACTACCTAATACTATTAAATTATAAATCATGGGAGGTCTTCTATAGGGTGTCAAGTAGTATGTGACTAAACTAAGAACTGGTGTCAAAAACAAAATACAAAAGAAGAAACTTGCATATGTTTTCCAAAATTCCATTATGGAAGATGAGTCTCTCCCCCAAGAACCCAAGTCACACGGTCCATACTGGTTTTTAATGACATCAAAATACGTATTGGGCACTTTTCTATATATGATCTCATTTACTTCTCACAACAAACACTATCGGATTCCAAAATTTTTGTCACTTTTACTTGAAGACTTTAATGCTCAAAGAGGTCAAGCATTGCTTTGCCCCTGAGTAGGGGACAAAGTGAGTATGGCAACTGTGAATTTTCTGACCCCAAATCCCAGATGCTTAACTACTACCTTCATGGCGACCATGATCTCATAATGTGCTCTCCTGCTCAGATAGGCTGCATTCACCAACCACAACTGCATGGTTTTTCAGGTAAAGACAATTAGGTGTACAGCCAGCGTGTTGGGAGGATTTGATGGGCAAGACTGTTTGATGGGTTGAATAATATGTAAAGCCTTAACAAATGTGTGTCCAACGCTCAAGCATGTGTGAAAGAAGACCTACACCTTCCAAAGCAGTTACAGGTGTAAAATATGCCTGCAAAAATATATGCTCCTTCTGGGTTTCTATCTGAAAATTAGAGAAGAAATCATTGGTTTCCATAAAAACCATATTTTGAAATCCATGATATATTTAAAAGAAAAAAAAGTAATCTAAGTAAATAATACCTAATGTATTCATGCAAAGTAGAGTGTACACAGGAGCTTAAAGCTCAGAGAAAAAAACAGCATGTTTATCAAATGCCATCTCTGGACCACAGTCATGGCCACTGCCAATTTTCACCCTTATTTCCAGGAGTCACCCAGGCCCCATGCCACCCAAACCGGATACAGAGGAGAGTGTACATCCAGCAAGGCTGGGAGCCAGCAACACAGCTAAAACGCGGCAGAGAGGGAGGAGGTGAGAGGTCTTCCTTTATTCTCATTTCTCTGCTAACTGGTCTTCCCATATAGCACTTTTATCTTTCCGATGCAGTATTCCAACATTTCAACCAAAATAACATGAAGCAAGAGGAGAAATGAAAACATAAGAGTAATGAGAGTAAACAACAAAGAAGAAAAGGGGGGATAATGAATTCTATAATGTGACTCTTCAGACAATGACTGCTTAATCTATTACAGTATATGACGTGTGAAATTATGTTACAACCAACGTCCATATATTCAGTTATAAATGATCTGTACACATACATACGCACCCCATTTACTTAGTTTAAAAAAAGCATCCACACTACTATATATAAAATAAATAATCAACAAGAACCTACTGTATAGCACAGGGAACTCTACTCAATATTCTTGTAATAACTTATATGGGGAAAGAACATGAAAAAGAATGGATGTATGTATATGTATAGCTGAATCACTTTGCTGTACACCTGAAACTAACACGACATTGTAAATCGACTATAATATAAAATAAAAATTAAATTAAAAAAGGAAGCATCAATGTTAATATTGTTTAAAAGCACATAAAGGCTTGAAAATATTGATACAAAATATTGATGGGCTTTAGTCACTGATTGGGAAAGATTCTCTTCCAGAAACCTAAAAGAATAAAATAAAATTTCAATTTTAACATGAAAATTAGCTAGTGTCACAAATTTATATTCCAACTTACCCAGTATCCCTATCCAAGCAAAATTTTCAGACAAGGTCACTTTGTTTTTATCAACTGCACAACAATGTATTGTACTGATCCCTTCCTAATTAAGGCCCAAGTCTGTGAGTGTTAGCTAGCAATACTAGGTGTCCATCTGATCTTGCAAATAATTTTTCCATTTATAAAACTTTAAAACTTGGACTTTAGCCTTATAAACATTTTGATTTAAACAACTGATCTAATTAGGTTATAATGTGTTCAAGTCTGTTCTCTATGTCTGTGAGTCTGTTTCTGTCATAGATAAGTTTGTTTGCATCATGTTTTAGATTCCACATATAAATGATATCATATAGTATTTGCCTTTGACTTACTTCACTTAGTATGATCATCTCTAGGTCCATCCATGTTGCTGCAAATGGCGTTATTTCATTCTTTTTTATGGCTAAGGACTATTTCATTGTATATATATACCACATCTTTTTTTTTACAAGATGTTGGGGGTAGGAGTTTATTAATTAATTAATTAATTAATTAATTTATGGCTGTGTTGGGTCTTCGTTTCTGTGCGCGGGCTCTCTCTAGTTGTGGCAAGCGGAGGCCACTCTTCATCGCGGCCTCTCTTGTTGCGGAGCACAGGCTCCAGACGCGCAGGCTCAGTAGTTGTGGCTCACGGGCCTAGTTGCTCCACGGCATGTGGGATCTTCCCAGACCAGGGCTCAAACCCGTGTCCCCTGCATTGGCAGGTGGATTCTTAACCACTGCGCCACCAGGGAAGTCCCATGTTTTTTATATACTTCAGCCAAAACAATATATCACTAAAGACTGAATGCAGAAGGAGATGTGAGAATCCAGCCTTCTATTAAGCTAGACATTAAAAAGACTTCTGAAAATGTCACTTTTTATGGATTACTTTGTTTTGGAAAACAGCTATTTTCAATTTTCAATGTGTTATTTATAGTAATATACTTTAATAACTACAAATTAATATATTTATAAATAATACTTTTTTAGAATGGATATATATATATATATATAACTGATTCATTTTGCTGTACACCTGTAACTAACACAACATTGTAAATCAACTATACTCCAATAAAAATTTTAAAAATAATAATTTTTTTACTTTCTCAATTTTAAAGTCGAATAAAATAAATACTAATAGATATAATTCACATAAGCAAAAAGCTTTTAGAGCCTTATAATTTTTTTTTTTTTTTTTTTTTTTTTTTGCGTTACGTGGGCCTCTCATTGTTGTGGCCTTTCCCGTTGCGGAGCACAGGCTCAGCAGCCATGGCTCACGGGCCCAGCCGCTCCGCGGCATGTGGGATCTTCCCGGACCGGGGCACGAACCCTTGTCCCCTGCATTGGCAGGCGGACTCTCAACCACTGCGCCACCAGGGAAGCCCAAGAGCCTTATAATTTTTAATAGCTGCTTTTCAGGGTCATAGGTCCTTTAATATGTACATATGTACATTTCTGGTATTATGCCACATTATTGTTTGACTGTTTAAAGAACTAACAACAAAGAAATGACATGGATGATTATAATTACCCAATCCTTGTTAGTTTGAAATATACATTTACTTGCTCAGCTATATACTTCACTCCCCAGCCTCCCTTGCAGCTAAGTGTGGGTATGTGTCAAATTTCTGCCTAGTGAGCTGTAAGCAAAGTGTTTACATGGCACTTTCAGGAAATGTCCTGGAAAAGGAATATGTGTTTTCTCCCTCCCTCTGTACTGCTTCCTGGTAGTGATGGCTGACCTCTAGCCATCATTTTGGAACATGAGGACAAGAGACAGAGAAGAGTAAAACGGAAAGAACCAGGTCCTGGACAACCTTGTAGGGCCACCGTACCATCACTACCTCTGAATTTCTTTTACAAGAGATAAATAAATGTCTTATTTAAACCACTGGCATTCTGCTTTTTCTATTATACACAGTCAAACCTAATCCAAAAAAAATTAAAATTTTGATGGGAAAAAATGCTACACATAAACATTCTGGGTTTTCCAAATAGGATCTCAGGCCAATAAAAAATAAAAAAAGTTTGCTCCATTAGCAAAATCAAAACATACAAGAAAATAACTAACTGTTGTTCCACAACATAGGAAAAGACATACATTGCTCTAAGAATCCAGACTTTATTACTTTAAAGAACAACAGGGATATTTCACAAGAGCCTAAAACTACCCTTGGTCATTTGAGTAATAGTTCTTTCACGGGCAGGAGTCATCCAGATTTTTTTCCATGGATTCAAGGAAAGAATGATAATTTTTAAATTATGGAAAACATATTACACATTCATCATTTTGCCAGCATTAACCTCAAAGTATAAGTTTTACTTTATTGGGGTAAAGAGATAGGCTGCCCTTTTAATCAACTGACTAATGTACAAACAAGCTAAGGTTAACTCCTCAGCTAATGAACAGGCATGATAAAAAAAAAAGCTGGTTGACAAAACATGAATAAATAAATGAGCACAAGCTCGGTAATGCTACCTGTAGTGCTTCAAAGTGTCAATCATATCCCTAGTCATCACTTAAAGAATGAATGTCTGCCAACGTTATCATCTAAAATATATTTACAGAGGTCAGAAGAGCCACGTCTGTCCTCCTCTATGCAAAGAGGTGATGACATCAAGGGGGTATGTCACAAGCCTAAGTTTAGTTAGTGGATTTAAGCTGGTTTGGAGTTTTATCCACTAAGTATGATCTTCTGACCCCTCAGTTTTACAACTTTCCACTCTCTGAGCTGCACTGCACCTCTCCATTTCTGAGTTAATCATTTGTTTGCCATTATCTGCTGAGAGTTCTTATCTCTTTTGCTGTCACTTTATAACAGGGTCCTCTTATCAACCTGCATAGAGTCATGTGATTAGTCCAAGCCTATCGAAAGTTTCCATTCCTCTGATTAGAAACCATCATGAAACTGGATACATTGTTTACAGCAGGTCACTAATGCTGGAAAAAGTACAGAGTCCAGGGAAATACTTGCTTGTAACTTTCTGGATTCTTGGATTTTTTTTGTTTTTTGCTTTTTCTTAACTTTCACTAAGGGTTACTGTAGTCTGATGTGTCCTCCCCAAGGCTACAAAATTTGACAAGCTGCACTTTTTCTTATGCTCAATGATTTCTGCTTTAAGCCAAAGGACTGCCTATAATTTCATTAACAATGTCTTCTAATTCGGATACTGGGGATTTACAAGAATCTCTAAAGCACGGACTTACACCTATTGGTAAGTAGGAGTTGCTCTTTTTATCATCTATTTATCATCCTGCTACTACACTAATACATGTAATTTAATCTCATTGATGTATTTACTATTATAAGTCACTGCTTTTCCAATTGTGTTTATTAAAAGCACATAAGTCCACATATATATCACACTTATATCTTTCTTGAAGTTCAAAAAAGGCAAACGAATATTTCAAATATTCATTATATCTTGTTTTTGCATGTCATCCTATTAGCCTAAAACAGCCAGAAAACAAAATGTACAATATCTCACCTTCATCCCTAATATTTTCTGACCACTTAAAATGAGAAATAATAAACTAAAATTTGAACAACTTGAAACAAGTTAGCCATATGGAGTCACCATTGATCAAACTTCAGCAAGTGCTTTCGCGTATCTGTGGAGTTTCAAACCACATCACAGTATGTCTCATTCATTGCAGATATCATAGAAAACTTTTGTATTTGAGCCAAAAACAAAAACAAAATACCATCATTAGTTAAGGATCAGAAGTTAAGGGTGACTGTTTTTCAAAATAATGAGCATGTCTTCTTTTCATAAACAGAATAAGTAAACAAAGTTTATTTTCATTTTTAAAAAATAATGGCGAGTCACAAACGTTAACGTTACAGCAAGAATACCTTTAATTAATCCTGAAAGTAAAGGACTAAAGGAAAGTAATTCCCAGTGGTCTGTAATTATTAGTCTGTTGGAAATCTTGCCTTTCTTCCTTCCCACTAGTTTTTGAAGGACCTAAGCCCTTTCCTGTAGCCCTTTCTTAGACTTTCGAACCGGAATTTCCCTGTAATTCGCAGAGGCCTGTCATCGGCGCTGAGTTCCAGCGCCGCTGGAGCAACAAGGAAAATCAAGGCTCCGGCTTTTCCTCTCTCTCCCTTGATAACCAGCTGACTCTACCGAACGCAGTGATTGCTTTTTTTATGGGCCAACTACACCCTAAAGTATATCAGTTGAGGAAATGGTTACCAAAAAAAATGTTCTGTACTTACGAAAAAGAAAACACCGGGAAGGCAGGCAGAGTGCAACAGAGAATCAATTGCTCTGCTGATAAAAAGAAAATACGGGCACAGAAGGAGCTGGAAGAGAACACAGAGCGATTTCAAATCTTTGCCCGGGGCGCAGCCGCCTGGGCGTATGGGCGAAGGGTCCCTACAGGCAGCGGCCGCGCTGGGCCACCGCGCTGCTGGCGTGGGCGGCGCGAGGCGAGGGCGCGCTCGGGCCGGGGATGCGGGGGCGCGCGTCGAGGGCGCGCTCGGGCCGGGGATGCGGGGGCGCGCGTCGAGGGCGCGCTCGGAGACTCACCCGCCCGCGGATGCGAATTCAGGGCGAGGGCATTCCCGAGACCACACACGAGGACCCCCACGGCGCGGCGCAGACCCGGGGTGAAGGAATGCGGGGGAGATGGTGGAGAAGCCGCTTTCGCGTTGCCTCGGCTACCGCGGATGAAGCGCATTTTTCACCCTACGCGGCGGGTCCGTCCCGGGCGTGAAGCGGGACCACCTGCAAGTCTGGGGTCCGCCGGGTCCGGAGCGCAGGCAGCCGGCTGGGCGTCCGTCTAGCCCCGCAGGGATCGCTAGAGGCTGAGCCTCAAGAAGGCCCCGAAGGAGAAGCCCAGGGCCTCCGCGAGCCCGCCCCCGACACCCGAAACCTGTGCGGGCACTTCCGGGCGCCAGATCCTGGGGTGACAAAATAACAGTGAATTTTCCGGTTAAAAAAACCCCTCTTTCCGGATCTCATTCTCAGCCACCGCCCCCTCCCGGCCCAGGCACACTCTCTCCCCCGTCCCCGGGTATTGCAGCCCCACGGTTGGTTGTGAGGTGTCCCTAGTTGGAACGTCTTGGTTACACGGAGGCGGCTGCTGGCACTGAGGGTCGGTCTGTTCCACAGCGTAGCCTCCCGGGGGTGCTGGGGGCCATTCCCGGGGTTCTTGGCTAGACCGTCACCCGGAGGGACAGTGGAGCCATCAGGTCCTCCAGTGGGTCCTTGAAGGCCAGTTGCCTCTTGGATGGGGGTCTGACCAACCCGGGCAGGCCCAGTGAGGAGAACCCACGGGTGCAGCTCAGAGGGTCTGAGGTCCCGGTGGCTTTGATGGCAAGTTGCACGTTGGGATGGAGTGGGGAGAGGTTCCCAAAACTAAGCCCAGTGTATGCACAGCTCAGTCAGGGTTTGAATTCTACATCAGGTCATTTGTGTTTTTCTGGGAAATGTGCCTCTGTTTATCTAAAAAGCTGTCTCTATGGGTCCTAGAGACATGGCATGACATTTTTCTTTTACGCACACTGGCGGTTCCATGAAAATTGCATATAGACGTCCGTTCTCATACAGAAAAGTGAAAATAAGATGCCGTTGTTCCTTCTGCCTACCTGCAAGATAATCTGTGCGGTGTAAGAGCAGCAGACTTGAGCTACAACCTGATCGGTCTCCTAAAGTTAACTAGCTCTGGGATGCTGTCCAGATTCTTGGTTTCTGGCTTAGGCTTTTTTCTTTCTCACAAATGGGGTGATTTTACTGAATGATACGCAGTACTACTTAGAGAGAGAGAATAAAGTACCTGTCTATGTCAGCAAAAGAGCCAAACCTGTGCGGTAGGAAACATGTCATGTAACGAGTATTTATTGACCCTCTTGCAATGTGCTCAACGTTATGTTTGATTTGTATTAAATTTATGTAATTCTTCGAATTAAGTGCAATTTTTAAGAATATTATACAGTCCATATGATGTTGCATCCTGACCACAGGAGGTTCTGTCTGTGTGGTTAGGGGTACGTAATACACAGTGCAAATGCTGTCTTGAGACTGTGATATAAACGTTGCTATCTGGTCCCCTTAGCACTCTCGGAGTCTGATTTGATTCCAGTGATAACCTCCAGCAAGCTCTGTGCCCTTAAGATCTCTGGAAGTCAACGTCACACAGTGGAAAGTGAGAAAGCCTGTTATGTCACCATATCCTCTAGCCAGCTTTATTTGCAGTGCTGTTTAGAACACCAGTTACCCAAGCCCATGGTCTGATTCTTGCTGCTGGGCTTAGGCAGCCAGTTCCCTCCAGGAAGCTGAGCCTCGGAGCCTTGTCTCCTTCCCAGCTCCTGCCCACTTCCGAAACAATGCATCTCAGATTCTCTTTGCTGGCCTGGATCCTCAATTGTGATGGGACTTAAAGAATGTCTTTAATGCCTCTTTTAATAAACCAAGAGAGGTGTATGGATGAAGCCAGAACAGAGGCTTGGGAATGCTTTTTTTCTTTACTTGACCCCTCCACACAGACACAATGTCTAGGGTTATCTTGGATTCAGCCTTGGACTTGAGCTGAGCTAGAGAGGGAGGGGCTCTGGGACAGTGTCCCGCCAGTTTTCCAACCTCCCCAAACACCTCCAGGGATGCCCTATGCAGGGCAAGAGTCAGATGTCTTACTCCCCAAGTCCAGAACCTACCTCAGGATAAAGCTACTTATTTGAGGGTATGTCTTCAGTTCTTCACCTTTGCTGGAAGAAATTCTCTGAGAAACCCGCTTGGCTTCAAGGAACTTCAGGAGTTTGGGGGCCATTGTGTCTGGGAAGGGCCTCGGGAAGAGCTGAAATATGACGGGTGTGTGAGAGATTGAGCCTGGGGAAACATGTGGACTGAAATTGACCAGACCGATCAATAAAGGCTGCCTGTGTGTTTTTGTGTGACTGACAAGTAAGAAAAGATATATTTTACTTTTAAACCTCAAATAAGCTGAATGTCTGCGGGTAATGTGATTGAGTCCTGAGGACTGTGTCAAACACGGCAAGATGGTGGCGTTGGCAAGAACCTCCCACTGGAAGGATCCATTTTTAATGGTCCTTAGAATGGCAAGCGATTCCCTTCCTAGTTGTTTTCCTTACAGAGGATGGTTTGGGGGAAATTAGGGAGAAAGAGAAAAAGATTAAAAAACTGATATTAATAACAGTGCGGTGGGCTGCTCTTCTGGCACGATCACCTGTGTATAAAGTTTATTTTGTTTAAAAAAAGTTTTCTTTGTTAGCCTTACTTTACTGATGAAGAAAAAAAAAATGGACTCAGAAAGGTCAAGTGATTTACCCAAGGTCACTCAGTTTGTCAGAGAGTGGGCTGTAAATGGAAATCATGGATGTGACTCTGAAATCCATGCTTTTTCCTCAAGGTAGTATCTTTTTGCTCTTGTTGATATAAAGAAATTATGATTACAAACAATGTTTGTCTACTTAGACTTTCTTCCGAAAAGCATTTTGGGCTTAAGTAAGACATTTGTCAATCGCTCTTTATCTCCCTCTTCATGAAATCCGCAGTGGAAACCCCGAAGGATTTGGAAGGGTGGGCTGGGGCGTGGCGTATGGGTGGGGTGGAGCCATCTGGAGCCCTGAGAGCTGAGCAGAGATGCGGGGCCGGGGGGTGGGGGCAGGGAGGCACTTCTGGTCTCTGACTCTGGAATTTCCTGAAAGGATCTCTGGAGTTTGACGTTGAGCTTGCAGTTCTGTGGCTTACGGTAGCAACTCGCGAGGCTCCTGAGTGGATGAAAAGGAAATTGAGAGGAAATTCACAGCATCCACTTGTTATAGAGTCAGTGATGTGAGGACGGCAGGGAAATCACTCAAAATGAGTGAGTTTAGAGAGGACTTTTTATTCCTAAGAAACGAGCAAAGGTCTCCCGGGGGGAGGGCAT